AGCTGAACCGGGAACCGGACATTTCTAAAAAATCGTAGAGTATGGCTTTAAGGCTTCCACTTCGTTTCCCTCAGCTCCAGCCAATAATCATATTAGTGTTTGTAGTCGATCCTTATTAATCGGTTTAAGTCGATATTTAAAATTCGGTTTAGCCGGCTAAGTCAGAGTCGATTTTTTGGAAAATCGGCTAACTAAGTCGATAAAAATCTCTATGCAAATCGACTACAAACACTAAATAATATTACAGATTACTAAAAATAAAGAACATAAGTGACCACACATAGTTTGGTTTACATAGCATATCACACACCCCAATAACCTGCACAGCTCGGTCGAAATTGATGGGTATTTATAATGTTCACAACTTAATTTATTAACTTAGTAAATGAATGTGTACATTATTGGATAAAAATTTGGTTTACTTATAGAGAATTTAAGATTCATCATTAGTATATATATCACTATGTGTATGCAACCTTTCTATCTATACCTAAGGTAAATACCCATTTCGTTTTCATAACTATTTAGAGATATAATCCTTTATAATACTATAATTAAATAAAATTCCTTTAAGAATTTAAAGGACAATGGCTACTCCACGTTGTGCAATCTTAACCTTTTCAGAGGCTTTTGCTTCAATATTTATAATAAATAGTAAATCAGAACGATCCTCATTAAGATAAACCGGAAGGTTTACAGTTGTTTCGGTGGTTGAAGTAGCTTGCGAACTTAAAACCCATTTAATTTGAGAAGTTTCTAATTTCGTTGTCGGAACTCCGCAAAGACTCAATTGATTGCCTGTCCATTCGGCACCTACGTATGATGTAGACAAATATTAAATTTGAATCAAAATTGAATTAAAAGATAGTAAATGAAAGTTTATAGTGAAAAAATACCTTCAAGCTTGAGTCCTAAGAAACGTAATATCAGGAAAAGATGTATATACGTTAATTTTGTATTTAAATACATTTTCATATTATTAAATCAATAAATCCTCTGTGATAATTACCAGTTAAAGCAAAAGAATCAGGATCTCCACTCTTATTAAGAGAAATTTCTAATACCAATTGTTCTAATGACCATTTATGTTTTTGTGCTACTGCTTGGCGTGTGGCCGTAATAAATGCTTCAGGCATGAAAAGACCACCAATCCATACTTGTAAATCTAAAAAGTCATGTAATTTTGTAATGCTTTCAAGTTGTTGAAGTCTACTCCTGAAATCCGCAATCCAGTGATTTAGGGACACATTTTTGGCGACTTTATATTTTCGCCAGTGATCCGGTATAATACCTTAATTTCAAAATTGTAAAATTACTTTAGACATGATCAATAACATAAAGCGATTTATAAATAATGAAAAGAAGCTCAACTAACCCTTTGTAAGACAATTCAATAACATACGCAAATGATTTGTTTGTTTGAGTTCACCCTTACAAACTTTAACGACATCCTCAAGATCTTGCCGAATTTTCTTGAGAAGACTACGTCCAATTGAGTTTTCTCGATCAAAGAATCTGAATAATGGATTTTTGATACTTTCAGAAGTACGGCTCATCATTTGAATCTTTGCGGGGAGCACGCCTAACCATCCCTCGACAGACGAATGTAATGCACGCATCCAAGCTGGTTGGGTTGATGATTGAGAATCTGACTCTTGAGACGATTCAACTTCATCATCATCAGCCGTATTCTTCATTTTTCTAACTTTCACAAGCATCGCGTAACCTATATATTATTAATTGAAAATCACATTAAATTATGCGCACAATTAATTAAGGGTTTCGAGAATAGCAACAATCCAGACCTTTGCTTGTAGCTAAAACTCTTTCTGCATTGCTTGGTAATCCTAGCCATATAGGTGGCTCGCGTTCTGGAAGATTATTAACCCAGTTTACAAAGTCTTCCATTTTTGTGCCATCAGGAATGGCCAGTTTATGCGAGTCTTCTGAATCAACAAGCGGAAAATCAAATTCATAAGCAGCAGGTGAGAATAAACCATTTACGAAGCACTCGAGAAGACGCTTGTCAAATTCATTATCAATACGGCCGCCATAACCAGCAACACAGATTAATGTACGAAGTGCTTCCCAAGGAATCTTATCTGGGGAAATATTTTCTCTGTCTTTAGCGACTGAATTCAGCCAAGCGTCAATAGTATTAATTGCAAAGTCCTGATCTGAATCATTAAACTCGTATATCTTAGTCCAGCCAAGAGGAGCATAACGAAGACGTTCTTGCACGATAGCATGCAACCAAGCAAGCATGAAGTAAAGACGCGCGCGTTCTCTTGGACCTTTTGAGAAACGTGATTGTGGGATACTCTTAAGAGAGTCTTGAAGATTTGCCTTAATACCTGGTAGAGGCTCGAACATAAGTACACGGGATAGACGCAATAAATTGACTGGTACCTATATAAAATTTTATAATATGCCGAATTAGTCATAATTATTATCCCTTGATTATCATAAAAGACATCATAATCATACCTTGGGATTTGTCTCCATGGTGAGGAAAAGTCTAAAGCTTCTATGTGCTTTCATACTATGTAACTTCTTTTCTAGTTGACCTAGCCATGATGTAGCTAGATGAACATTTTTCAATAAAACCCAATTTCCGTTTTTGACCGCAGTTGCAATAGCTTGATCGGCCAAAGTGAAACCCTCTTGAGAACCCATGGCAACAGATGTACATTTGACACTCATTTCATTTACAAGATTATCTACACGATAACTTGCGTCATATCCAGGAACTGAACATAAGGAAATAGGAGTGGTAGGTTGAACTTCGTCAATCACCAATGACTTGAAATCTAATTCTGTTTGAGTGGCGAAACCTGGCTCAAACGCGATAGATACGAATTCAGTTACGGCAGGAATAAGTCTATCAGGGCGGAAGCATTTGATAATCAATATTTTACGTAATTGTACAACAGTTTCTGGATAGAATAAGTTTGTTAATATGTCTGCAAAAAAAAAAAAAAAAAAACATTAAATATAGATACGAGAATGAAGTTAAACATACGAGGCAATGGAGTATCCGAAAATTCAGGCACATGTTGCTCAGGCTCATCATATTTCATAAACTTCATCCATTCATCAACATTATCACTAATATTCCTACAAAGTCCCGAGAAACATTTAAGACTTGTGAATTCTTTTATTTTACAAAGTTGATCAGAATCAAAGATATTTTCGGGTAATCCTAGTTCGCGTGCTGTGACTTTTGATCCGGGTACGACATCACCGCCACTTAATAAGTAATCGTATTCATTTTCATCAACATGATCAGGAGTTCCACGAAGTTTAATTTGAGATAGCAAAACTGCGAATGTAACATAGTCTTCATGTAGTAAAGCTCGCGACACACGTTTGAAAGTCAATTTAAAAAGATCACGAGTGATAATTTTCAACCTTTCTTCAGGTTCTGTAATGTTTTTGAGGTTTGGATTTTCATGAAGGATATACTGGAATATTTCATAAAAGTATTCAAGGGAAAACTGATAAAAGTGATGTAAAATGTTTATTTGTTCCATAACAAAGAAAACAGAACTACAGGCTTGAGCTAAAGGTGTATATTGTGCTGTAACTCGTTCAACTTCTTGCATGATAGTGTCAGTTTCTTCAACTTTGCGAGTGATTTCAGCGGCCTCTTTTTTCAATTTTTCCAATGTATCCAATATATGAGTATCATCCAAGATATTGCCCTTAGATTCATTTAAAGCCTGCAAAAGAGATTTTTCGAGATGTCTCAACCTTAATTTGAATTCACCTTGAAGTTTGATTAAATCTGTTCGTTTCTGATCCGTATCAGGTCGCTCAACCTTAAGCACTTGATTAAGACATTGGCTTTGTAAACTACTACGTGTTACAGTAAAGTTAACAAATGTTACTCTGCTGCACACGTCTGGGGGGAAATTGACAGAAGGATCACGAGTTGATAGGAAAAGTGTAAATGATGGTGAGAAGTCAATATCTTGTCCACCCAATCTTATTAGAACACGACCGCCAGTACGGCGCAATTCTTTGTTGAGAACAGGATTTAAAATAGGGTCAAGATGTTCAACGTCTTGAATAAGTAAAGGATTACCGAAACGAAGAGCACTTTCCAAGTTCTTAACAAATGAATCATCTAAGAAACTAGTAACAGTAATTTTTTTGTTTTTAAATTCATTCTTTAAAAATGAAGAAGCCTGGCCAGATGGATCAATAATGAGCGGATATCTATTGAATCTCTTAAGCATAATAGCATTTTCAGTACATAGATCATCAGCCGGGAGGGAATTTGCTTGCCAGGAAAGACGATCATCAGCTGATGACAAATATTCTGTCAATGAAAGTTCGGGCTTATATTTAATCTCGGCGGTATTTAAGTGTTCCTTCCACTTTCTAAGTAACGTTTCACGGTACTGTTGATCGAAATATCCACCATAGGCAAGGAATGCTGCAGAAAGTAATACATCCCCTACAATTGTTCCCATCTGTGTTTCAAATGCTTGACTACCAGTTACCCATCTTTCCTTTTCAGATGATAAACTAGCAAGAAGAGTCATACTTCTATCTACTTTATTCTTAACAGAGTTCATTACTTCTTTAATAGCTTCTTTATCTTTAATTAAATCTGTATATTCATCCTTATATATAGCTATTTTCTTTTCTAAATCTTTGATCTCTTGTTTCATACACTCAGCTTGTTGTTGAGTTTGCTGTTGTTGTGCTTCTAAATCCTCCATTTCCCTACGCATAGGACCGACTCTGTCCAAAATATCTGAATAGCCGACTTGAGCAATTACCCATTTAACCAAAGGTCCACATGCCTTACTAGCTCTGTTTACAGTCTCGAAATTATAATTAGGTTTGGTAAGATATTCTACTTTAATTTTTTCTCTCACAGTTTTAGTCAATTTGTTAGTATCATATTGAACAATACTATTAATAAAGTCATCAGATCGGATGATAGCCTGCAATTGTGACCAGCTATCGCCTCTTCTACCGAGTAAAAGACAAACTGATGTCATTGCCATTTTCACTGCCTCTGGAGGGTTGTTCATTGAGCGTACTTCAGTAAGATGTTGCCTCGTAATACCTCTTACACTCTTTTTTGCGTCCTCAAGAGCTGGTTCAGCATTGGCTAAATCCCTCACTACTACTTCACGACGTTCTTCGATTGCTTTATTTTGAACCTCGAGGGCGACTGAAATTTCTTCTACATCCTTTTTACGTTTTTCAGCTTCATTTTGATCTTCAAGCAATTTCTTGAATTTTTCATTAGCTTCACGATCCTTTTCTTGAAGCTCTTGATTCTTTATAGCTAAATCACTACGAAGTTTATCAACAGTATCAACAGTTTCTTTTAATTTTTCTAAACCAACATTCAAATGACGTTGTTGCTCCTCAAGATCTTCACGTTTTTCATTGAATAATCGTACATAATGATTAATAAAATCCAAGTAATGGCGTGGAGTTACATAATTATAACGACCTTGGCGTTTGCTCAATTTTGCATTAATCTCGTAAAGAGATTGATGAACGAAAACGAATGCATTCACAATGGCAGAACGATGCGATGGCGGTAAAGACAATAATCTATATACAATAGGGAAGTTTGGAGGTGCTGAATATGTTTGAAGATCCAAGTCCAAGTTTTGAGTGAATTCCATGCCTACTTGGAAGAAAGCTTGATCCGACCAATCACCGAACCAATCTAAAACACAACGATTGAAAAGAGCGGGAGATGTTGCCGCACGAGAAGCGAGACCACCTTCTGGAGGATTCATTGTAAATACAACATGAAGGTTTTTCATTACTTGTTGTGTGAACCATTTATATAATTCTTCAGGAGAATCTAACATTAATCCATCCCTCTGAGCACCTTCCTTACAACTTGTCATTAACGCATTATATTCATCACCTTCGAATAACCCAGGAACTTCAGCGTTAGCAAGGAGCGTATTCATACGTTCCAAGAAACCTGAATCTAACACGTTTGATTCATCCATTACAAAGCAGATTTTTTCTCCTTTACAACCAGCCCTTCTTAAGACTGTTCTTAAATCATCATCAAAATCATCACCAGTATACTTATTATGCGCTTTAATTTGGAAAACACTTAATCCATTCATCCAAGCAACAAATCTAGACAAAGTAGTCTTGCCAGATCCACTTACACCAATTAAAAGTAAATGTCCTTGCATTTGTCTAAATACACGATCAATACGAAGAACGTGATCCAAGACATCATTGAATAAAACTAGTGGGACGTCTAATTCTTCTTCATAAAAGACTTTGAGACGAGCTTTAACATAATCACGCAAATCTTCACGTTCAACAGGGATATAATGTTTCGATAACCAATTAGAGAATAAAATTGGTCGATGTAAAGCCTCAGAAGTGTTCAAATTTGGAAAATGCTTCAAAGCAGTAGCATCAATGTTCTCATCCGTCCATTTTCTCTCTTCTTCAGTAACAAGACGGTCCTGGAATAATCGCAAAGCTTCATGCGCCCAAATACGAACTAAACCTTCAAGAGAAAGGGATTCCAAAGGCTTAATTGCCTCGAATATACCTCTCATCCATCTAGTCAATTCTCTGGGAGAATAAATATAATGGGCTTGGATATCAGGAGTAAAACGTTTTTGAGACATAAGATAAAATTCAACCATAGCAGCTGTAAGCGGTTCAGCGTATCCTTTAAGTGAAGGAATAACTTTTAACATGGCACGAGCAAATGTTCCGTAAATTTGGTTAAGGGAAATTTCACCGGGATAATCGACCATCACTAAAGGAGCATGACGAAGGTATCTATGAGTTAATGGCACACGTCCAGGATCCGTAGGAGGATTACAAGCACCAACAAATTGGATTCGCTCCAATTTAACCCATGCTTTATCAGACGTTCTCCAATAACCACCACATTCAATTAATTGCCTTAAAAATGAGATAACGCGTTGAGTGCCATATTGATCACTTACAGGAAGATTGATCTCGTCACAAAATACCACAATCCAACGACCAATGGCAACAGGTGATAAAATAACACCGTTTGGAGTTTTACGATATTCACAATATTGTTCAAATGTTTTTAAAATTAATTCAGGTGTGGTAGCGCTGGAAAAGTTGAGACCAACAACCTCCATGTCCGGCAATTTTCTAAGGGCACTAAATAATGTCATGGTTTTTCCTGATCCAGGAGGACCGCATAATAAAAGAGGTTTGTGTTCTGATAGCCAGGAATATAATATTTCTTCGTGACGGACAGTATCAACTGTAGGAACAACTACATCAGCCTCAGCTACTGTATGAGTTTCAATTTCAATGGTTGGAACTTTGCCAGTCCATGACGTCCAATCACCATTGTTGATTTGAACATCATAATCAATGAGAGTTGAGCCCGGCTGCGGAGGAGGTAAGTCGACTGCGTACACATAAAAAAATAAGTGACTTGAAAATTTGAAAATATCTCTATATAAGAAAACGCTATGAAGCTTTACCTGTAGCTATTCCACGAACAAAATCACCTAATTCAGCACGGTAGTCTAGTTTAGCGTCCCCAGAGAAACTCCAAATAACGCCAAGAACTAGCCGTTTTGTTACATAACTATCTAAAATTTCTGCCGACATTGGGAAATCAGGATGTTGTGTATTATAATCAATTACATTACGAACAGTTTTATTTAATAATGAGAATAGCGTATTCAACGCGCGCATGTAAGTAAAGTCCATAATATGATCTAATTTATCTGCTTGCATAAGAGTTTTTGTGACTAATCCTTCTTCAGTCATATGTTTGGCAAGAATATTTGCAATGCTACGTTGTGTACTAAGATGCGGTGAGACAGTATCTTCTGCACTCTCAACTTTATGAGTTGATGATCCTTCTTCTTCATTTTCATCCAAAGGAACAGATTTCAGATTTTCCAAATAATTATAATAAATCATTTCAAGAGTGACTACTTCCTGTAAATTACAAAATGATAATGAGGGCTTTTGATATTACCATACAACATACATCTATATTGGAATCAGTAATGACATACCGATGAGAACCACACCATACCACAACGACTGACGGTAGCTAAAGTGGCGTATTTTAGATTTTCTACTTCAAACATAATGCGGACATTATGCGGAAGACTTAAACGTTCACCATTAGGAAGAGTTAATAATCGATTATCATCCAATACAGAATTTCTATTAAACAATAAAAAAATTAAGTAAGTCACGATTTAAATTATACTTTATATAAACTTTTGTATACAAACGCACAAATTTTCAACCCATTCTGGATCCACATCGCCATCAAAAATAATCCAATGTCTTTTGAGTTTTTCACCACGAACGTTATCAATAATTTTTCGAAGAATATGGGTGAACAGACCATCCGTCCATTCACGGGTTGTTTGATCTAAATTACCATAAAGTGCATCTTTTGACACAGCTTTGGGGTCAATAACGTAGGAAACACCTTCTCGACCTTCAACGCGTTCCAAAGCTTGAAGTAATACTTTCCATGCAGTTGATTTACCTAAAACAAGAAATTGTTAATGAATAAAAGCAATTTATTAAGAGGTATCATCATTCAACTCACCAGAACCAGAAGGTCCAACCATCATAAGACCATGATGAATATTTTGGATTTGATAAAGTTGAAGAACTTTTTCCAACCACATTTCACCATCAAGAAGGTACCTCTCATTACAAACATTTTTAATCTCTGCCGTAAGTTTATCAAGATCTACCGGTGAATATTCAACGCCAGGGAAAACATCGGCAAGCAAACTAACAAAAACAATCTAATTAGCATTGACAATTATTCACTAAAATCAAATTTTATTACCCACCTAGTTAAAAGAGGAATATCATCAGATACTAATTTGGGAACTATAGTTTCACGAATACTTTGTATCAAAATCTCTTGCTCAGGTGTTGACTCTGAAATTCTGGTATATTCTGATTTGTCTGCATTGCTTTCTCTAAGTACTTGAAGGCGTTCACGTTTCAGATTACCGGCACTAACAAGCACACTCTTAAGGGCTCGAAGACCAAAATCGTAATGTGCTTGCGGAGAAAGTTGTTCTGCACAAAGGTTGAATAACGGGACAACCTTTGAGGCAAGAGTTTCTGCAGTTCGGAAACCTTGAGAATACAACATTACTTGTGCGATTAATTCGCGATCTGGTTTTGTCATGGCCATGCTGCGGAAAAGTTTCTTTAAGTTGTCAGGTAAATTGGAACGACCAGCATATCCCGGGTTCATAGTAATAAAGATACCTAAATATATGTATAGTTTGATGGTCAGCTACCAATACAGTGTTGGCTAAAGTTTATTAAAACTTTACTCACCAGTATTAGGATTAACTTTTAGGTTTTTACCAACAATTTCCACTTCAGCGGTTGGATCTTCTGTAATAGCCTTAAGACCAAGCTGAATAGTCTGTACTTGTTGAGAAACAGCAGATAAAATTCTCTCTTCAAGACGATTAAATTCGTCAAAGCATCCCCATGCCCCGACTTGACAAAGTCCAACAAAGATACGACCCATAGCTTGAAAATCGAAATTTTCATCGCAACAAAATACAAGTACAAATCGTCCCAACTATATTGGCAGAGATTATGATTACTTCTGTATAAACAATTGATTATACCGAAACAATACACCCAATGTAAAAACATACCTGAACACCAAGGGCCTTTACTGATTCCGTTTTGCCAGTACCTAAAAATTATAATTTCAATTATATATACTATTTACATTCCTAATTAGCAAGAAGAAATACAATTGAAACAAATATAAAACATACCTCTGTTGAAATCAATGCATATCAATTGAATCATTAAAAATTTCAGAAACAATGATTAAATATAGTGCCTTGAAAACAAAAAAATACTTACGCAGCTGTAAAGTAGAATTTTATGAAAATATGAGCATGATTATGAGCATGAATATGATAAAAATGAAAAGAAAATAGGCGTGCAGTTAAACAATGATATAATACTAACGTCCTGTTAAATTTTATTTAAAGTTAAAAAAAAAAAAAAAAGTCAGTAAACTCATAACTACAATGATAACAATAAAATAAAAGAATAAGACTAACCAAATGGAGAACCACCCAACCTAGCTTCAAGTGCTTGGGTAAGAGTGCAATAGCATCTTTAAATTGTGTGGAAAAATTAAATATTTGAGCAACTTTAAATATTTATATAGAAAACTTCTTGACCAGTTAACAAACCTGTCTGTGAGTGGTGTTTGGACTAAACGATCAGGTACACCAAGGTACTCATATCCATAATAAAATTGTGCATTTGCCATTTTAATAACTAAACGTGATAGTGGATCGTCATTGCTGATATTGAAATAGAATCTCATGTGATATAGCCATGCAAAGTCTTTGGGAGAAGAGATTTTATCACGTTGCAATTGACGGATAGTGTCACGTTGATGCACAAGCTCAGTAATCAAATGTTCACATTTTTTACGTTGCGTTGAAGGCAAATCTTGAAGTACAGTATCTGCTAAAACATCTAATGCACGTATTACATAATTTAGAGGTCCGTTTAATGGTTCTTGTTCTTTGCCGCCCAATTGTTCAAGAGATGTTTCGACGGATTGAGTCCAAATAATTTGTACAGCAACTACAACTAATTGCGCTGGATATTTTTCTATCCACTCTAAAAATGTCGGTGTAGCTAATTCGTCTGCTAAATAGAAAGTATTCAATTCATTTACAGCATCTTTTAAACATTCTGCGAGAGAAATACGCATTTGAGTTTCTATCATAGTCAGCCTATACAATTAAAAATAAAAATTATTTAAAAGCAAGAACAATAAAAATGAATAGAAAAAAAAATAATTATACTTACCAATCATTTATACGCGAATAATCTTTAATTGTTATTGGATTCTTGAAATGAACTTCCTCTCCTTCTCGGGATGACATACCAAGAATAACACCACAGTCTTCACTAAGAATGATATTGGCCACACCGGCAAACATTTTCTTGAAATGCTTTTGAATGCGAACGACGTCTTTACTATTACCAATAATTTCAAGTAAATCTTCATCACCCACAAAATAGAAACGAGGGAAAGTTGAACGTTGACGTTCAAGGTATTCACCAAGTGCTTTTTGAATTTTAGCCAGGAGATCAGCTAAACGCTCCAAGGATTTTTGAACATTTGGAATGTTTAGAACGTCTAAAACAAATGGGGATTTGTACACTTTCTTCATAACAGCCAAGAATTCAGTATTTATGGATTGGAAACGCGTGGTTTCAACTGGAAGTAAATGTTTAATGTCCGCACTTCCAGTAAAAATGCCTTCTAAGTACACCCATTGACGTTGAACATCGATCCAAATATCAAATAAAACATGAACTCTGTTTAATTTTTCCTCCCATGATGAAGCGTCTTCTTCAAAAGCTTTGTAATAAGGTGACATTTTCATCGCAGTTAGTGAATTGAGATTTTCACCACATTTAGTGAACAGTTCATCCCATCCTTTAATAAGGCGACATTTATTTTGGTAGTTTACAAGTTCTAGGACGTATGAAGTCCAAGTTTCTTTCACTTGTTTCAAGAATTCTTCCAAAGCCATTTCACCAGTGGCTTGAACTAC